TTGATTTCTACTGTTTTGGATGCACAGTAGAAATTTTTAAGATGAAGGCACTCTACATTTTTAATCCTTTCCCATTTGGTTCCTTAAATCAAATGTAGTGTTATAATACTTACTATAGCTATTTTCTTTGAATAATGATAATAATTAGCATAATTAATATTTCATGATATACATAAAAGTTTCAAGTTCATAAGCATATTATCTTCCATGAAACTATATTTTTTTCTTTCATGTAACCAAAGAAGCTGATGAATGAGAGGCCAATTCCATGTCACTGGATAAATGTTTCTTAAAGGGAACAAACTCTAACACTTCTCTAAGGATATTCAATATTCAATCAAATATTAGCATAGCTTTAAGCTATCATACTGTATTTTTGAAATCTTTTCTAGCACAAAAGCATGTTGACATTCACGTAAAACTTAGAGAGAATTCATCCTCAAGTATTCACATGTATTAAAAATTTTAAATGTAGACTTTTTGGTGTTTTCTCTTATTGGTTTTGGCAATGCTATGCCAATTATTTGTAGGCATTGGAAGACTGGAATAGGATGAATATTACTACAATTTCTACACAGATCCAGGAATACATACATATATACATACATACATACAAACGTATATATATATATATATATATATATATATTTATATATATGAAATAAACCAGGTATGCCAGTCAATGCTTGGTCCCTGACTAGTGTAAAAGGATAGGATGCATACATGTATGGATATGGTACGTAATTCCCTTACACCCTCACACTCCACCTTGGAAGGAAAGAAGGTGCCTTTCAGTTGGTTCCACCTCATCAAAAAACGTGGAGTGGCAAGAAGCCTTTTCCAAAGCTGAAGGAATTCACAAAGGGAATATTAAACTTGCACAAATGAGGGTGTATTTCCATTGACACTATCAAAGAAGACAGAAAAAAAGCTGCATGCTTAACTCAGCACTCTGAGGAGGCTAACAAGGTAGAGATGGTCAGCACACGTTTTTCCTTACTGATTTTGTGTTTGCAATGAATGAGAACTTAAATTCCAGAATTTTAATTTCTGTTGTCAGGTCCTAATTGGCATTCTGTGGCTCTTGGGAGTTTCTTTTCCTTGAGATCTTTGAGAACTACTATGAAAGATCATAGACTTCATGTCAATGGGGTAAAAGATAAACAACCACCACTAATTTACTATAATTACTTTCCTTAAACAGTCTCTGATATTGTCCATCAAAATAACTTACCCCACATTCATGGATTCCAACACTAATAAGTATGGCCTGAAAAAGATGATTCTGGTATCTAAAGACTATCATTTTCCAATCTTAAGAAGTTTTGAAATTTTTCTTCATAATGACTTGATTATTTAAGTCTTCTTGGCTCTAAAGGGACCTGTGTGATGCCCACAATATTTGGAAATGGTACTTAGTAATTTCTGTGAAGTTGGCATGAAACCTTATGTGCAATCCATCTTTTTAAGTTGTGTTTTATGCAACTCAGAGGGCTGCCACTACTTGACTGAAAACCTGCATTTGTTTAGCTGTGATGTACATTCCCCTTTTCTTCAGTATGTCTGATACTTTTACCCAAGCCAGAGAAAAAAGACATGTCTGCTTTATAAGGAGAAGCAAAACAGGAAATAATAATTGTCATTTAACAATTTTTAACATTAATTGGAACTTAGCATGCTGGAAAACTTACTTCCTAGGGGAGATTAATAATTTAAGAACATCATAGACAGTTTGCAATGTACACAGAACATTTGAAGCATCAATTTATTAAACATTGCAGTATTTTCCCTGCAGAATGGATGAGCTATTCACAATTAGGATTAGGTTCAATATTTATGAAATATTCAGAAATGATTAATTATGTTTCATTTACAAATGGACTCTAATGGGAGACATTTTTATGGCAGGGACTATTTTAATGAATTGCCTGTCTCTATGAATTTATGTTCAGTACTGGAATCATTTATTTTTTCTACTTCTACAGACTTTACATCTGAGCTTTCAGTACTTATCTTGCCTTTCCTGCTTCTTCTGTTTCACTCCTATGTTCATTCCCCATTTGGCTAAGCAAGAAACCTTGGGTGTCTTTCCACCCCTCATATCTTACTTCCTCAGTCACGTATTCACATGATTCCTTGTTGTCCAAAAAACAAGAGTCTAGTGTTGATATAATATGTGGAAATACTTACAGGCCCCATCTATATAATGTTTCTCTTTTCCTCCAAGTTAGCCATGTCAGCTCTCACTAAGGAACAGTCTTTTGTGTCCTCTGGCATTCAGCCCTTACATGTTTTCTTTGCTCATTATACCTTTACATTTGTAGAAGTCCTTTCTTGTTTGGAAGCCAGCTCAAGCATCCTGTTCTCCCTATAACTTCCAGAGAGTTAATTTCCTTCTACTGAGGCAGAATCAGTAATGCTCTCATCTATCTTCTTCCTGGAGTGCTTGCTGGTATCCTGGTTGTCCTTATCTATTTCTACATCTGACTCGTGTATAATAAAGTATGATTGTTTTAAGTCTCGTCATAATGTGTTTTTCTATATACTGTGTATACCATGTAAATTAAACACATAATAAGTACTAATGAAAGTTGCATGACTAAATTGAAAAATCCTCCAAAAATAAGATACAAAGCACAGCCCTGTATCAAAGGGTATATAGTGGCAAAAGCAGATTGTGGCATAGGATAGTTACAAAGTGGATGGGGGTGAAGAAGGTCCTGTCATGGATCAGGTCCAGACGAAGAAAGAGGAAAGTCATAGAGACACATCAGCTTAAAGCCACATAGTAAATAGAAACTTTCTTTAAATATACATATAACACATTTTACCCTATTATGTCTTCTTCTCACTCTGTGGTTTGCATTTTCTGTACAGCAGTCCTTTGACCCCTGTAAGTATAGTACATAAGTGTTCTGTGGATGTATTAGAGTATGTGAGATAGTATATTGATGGACAAATGGGATTATGTTATTTCATGAAAGTTAAATAGACTCAAAACTTTAAACATTATGATTTCCAAGATGACATCTCCTCCCTCAAAAGTAGCAAGTTGTTAGCATTCATTTTTGTTTTTTACTTTGAATAAATATTTTATATAATTTGAATGTCTTTATTTACTCATATTCAGATTGAACACATTGAAACATCCAAAATAAGACAAATAAACTACATTTCTTTATCACAAGACCTTGAAAAATATCTGATTGCTATTCACTGGATAGACTTGGGATCCTCAGTGTAAAAGGCCCTTTCCAGAGATCTGTTTATAATCTTTACCTTTTAGTTTGAGAAATGAGACGGTATAGACACAGAATTCACAGAATATTTATGTAGAGTATAAAGACAAGAGAATAGCATGCAGCCTTCTCGCTCATACTCTTTAGATCGATCATCCCTTACCAGACCATAGTCCATCTAAATACATATAGTTTAATTTTCCGTTAACCAAGTGGCATCATTGAAATGGGAATCCTTGCTCAACATTTCTCTTAGTGCTTTTGCAGTGGAATGATGAAACATATCCACTAGAGTACCAATAAATTGGATGATAGAGATCTCAACAGCCTGGAACAACTTGCTCAATCTAACTAAAGTGAATTTTAGAGAGACAGATGCAACGTCAGCACTTAAAAAGAAAAGCACAAAATTACATGAAATGGGACTTATGGCTTAACTGTAGGGTAGTTTTTCTTTCTTTTTCCAAAGTGCTTGTTTAAAATATAATAAAGCAAAACCTGAAAGTTCTATGAAGTTACTTTTGTCTTCATTTTTTAGTCTCAACCACATTTTGCATTTGTTAATAATAATGCATGCACAGTAATCAAGGACTGAATATAACCTAATTTGAATACAGTTATAGACACTGAGGAACTGATGTAGAAACAGGAGACAAAAATCCAGTGAAAAACTATAGCCACCCACCATAGGACATTGTAGTAATCTGAATGAAAATGAACCCATAGGATCCAGAGAAGCATTATTTGAAAGGATTAGGAGATGTGGCCTGGCAGTAGTAAGTGTGATCCTTGAGGAATTATGCTCTGGGGTTGGGCTTTGGGATTTCAAATGCCTAGTCAGACCCGGTCACTCTCTCTGTCTCTGTCTCAGTCTCTCTCTCTCTCTCTCTCTCTCTTTCTCTCTGTCTCTGTCTCTCTTCTTGCTGCCTGTTGTTGATACAGATGTAAAACTCTCAGCTGCTTCTCCAGCACCATGTTGGTCTATGTACCAGCATGCTTCCTGCATGATAATAATGGCCTAAACCTCTGAACTTCAAAGTCAACCCAATTAAATGCTTTCCTTTAAAAGAGTTGTCATGGCCATCGTATCTCTTCACAGCAATAAAACCCTAACTAAGACAGACAATAAAGTAATTCGATTGTCCAGATAAGAGAACTACATTTGCAATTCTGAGAAAATAGGCATGAGAGGTTCAAAAACAGTGTAACTAAATAAGCTGAACCAATTTGTATTTGGAATAATACTGGAGTATAATGTCTATTGATATGGGTTTGACTAGTGGTATCATATTTACTAGTGGCCTATCTTGATAAAAGTCAGTAGCTAATATAATATCAAGTTATTGATCTATCGCAGAGAATGGAAATAAAAACCCAATAAGTAGCATCCATACACTTGAATGAAGGTGTATGTGTGATGTGTGTGATGTGGGAGATGGTCAGGAAGACAGATTACTCATTGTGTTGGCAACAGACTCATTATCTGGAAGAGCAGCAGTCGTTCTTAACCATGAAACAATCTCTCCAGTCTTGTGGAATGATTATTGCTGTGGTTGGAATGTAAATGTCCCTTTTAAAAGCTCATGTATTGAATCCATCATTCCTAGCTGGTAGTGTTTTAAGAAGGAACTGGATCATGAGGATGCCAACTTCATAGATGTGTGAATCTGCTTAAGTTATATGGGGTGGACTATTAGATTGTGGGGTCTATTTGGAGGAAATAAATTTCATACATGTTGTGGGATGGTGTTTCTTACTTACCTATAAAGAGCAGACAATGGCCTCTTGTTTCCAGGCTTTGGTCGGTATGGTTTGGGTTCCCCTGCCATGTTAATATCTGAAAATATAAAATAGCATTGTTTAAAATAGCAATGATAAACCATTTGAAAGCATTATATCTACCTTGGAATTTTTATTTTTCTATTTACTTGTGCAAATCTTTTTACAATTATTTATTAAACAATTTATACTGTGTGTCTATGTGTGGCATTTTTTATGTGGTGCTTGTACTTGTTAGTGTGCATGTAAGCACATACATAGGAATACAGGTGTGCACGTACATGGAATTCCGAGATCCACATCTGGTGTTCTCTCTTGATTTAAGCTTTACTTTTTTTTTTTTTTTTTTGGTTTTTCGAGACAGGGTTTCTCTGTATTGTTTTGGAGGCTGCTATCGGTCCAGCCCAGCCTCGAACTCACAGAGATCCGCCTGCCTCTGCCTCCCTAGTGCTGGGATTAAAGGCATGCGCCACCACCGATCGGCTTAAGCTTTACTTTTTTGAGACAGGGTCTCTTACTGAACATGAGGTATGAAGTTTATCAGTTAGGGAAGGTAGTCTGGCTAATTAGCTTCACAGATCCTTTGCACCAGTGAACAATTATGGGAACATTCCTACATGCCCAGGCCTTTCATGTGGGTTCTGAGAAATCAAACTCAGATTTCCATGTTTCTGTGGCAGACACTTTACCATTTAAGCAATTTCTTCATTCCTCCTTATACAAATCTTATATGCCATTCTCTGTAAAATATATGGAAACCTGTCCTTTACATGAGACACTGTGGGGATTGTCATATCCACACACAAAAGCAAATTAAACTCCATCTTGTCTGGATTTCATACCCTACTAGGGATATTTAGCTACTAGGAAAGAATTGAAGCAAATAAAAATATATAACATATTATGATGTGGAAGTCCTGTGTCAATAAAGCACTGTTGGGTCAATAGGAATCTAGATAGGTGGGACTAGGAGTCCAGGAGGACTCTGGGTAGGAGAAACACAGAGCGTCAAGATGTAACGCCATGGGGTAGGAAGCCCGGAACTATTCTCTGGTAAGAAAAATACTTAGATTAACAGTTATGGGGTAATTACTTAAGTCAGAGCTAGCCAGTAAGAAACAAGCAAGGCCAACAGCTTCATAATTAATATAGCCTCCTGTGTGTTTATTTGGGACTGACGCGGCTCTGGAACCAGGCAGGCAGGAAGGATTCTCTCAAGAAAAAGGCTTCCTTTTACAATATTAGAATATGGTATATTGTGGAAAAAGTGTTGAACAATGAGAGAAGAATCAAGGTGTATGATGAAAACAAAGATAATGAAATCCCTTCTGATTTTTTTTAATTATTTGAGACTTCTCAATAATAATTATTGTATTTGTAGGGTATATAGCTGTGTTCCTAAAATTACTCATTTCCATCATTATGTTATCACAATGTTTACTATATTTTCTGAGGAAAAATGAAATAAAATTAGTTTCTCAGCATAAATTTAATGATATATATTTCCAAGGTGGTCACATCCTGACTATATGAACTGAAAATGTGACTGAGCTTGACAAGACAATAGTGCATGGAATTGCCAATCTTGTGCTTAAAAGGAATGCTCAGCTTTTAAGAAATTAGAAATTTAGCTTTTAAAGAGAGTCTTACACAGCTCAGGATGTCCACAAATTCATGGTACCCTGTATCAGGTTCCAGTGTTTACTATAATTTGTCACCACTATAGACTTTTTAATGAAAACTCTTGTAATAATTAGGTATTTAAAAAGCTATTATAAAGTAGAATTCCTACTTTCCACTCTTAAAAACACTAATATTTAAATTTGAAAGCTAAAATATGTAAAGTTTAAGTGATAAGGAAATGAAAATTCATTTATGAGCTCAAAATATGAAATGATGATCTTAAACCAGACAGAAAAATAACTCTGGCCTGAAAACAAAACATTTATGAATTATATTGCATTGAATTATGAATTTTTCCTCATCAAAAGTTAAGTAAAGACCACTGAAAAAAGAAAAATTCTTTGACAAAGTATTTGTTTCTTGAGTATATAAATATATCATCTTCATGAAAGGAAAATGAGTCAAAACACCAAAAATAAATTTGGTAAAAACTTTACTTTATAGAAGAAAGATGTGATAAAATTTTTCATTTTCATCAGTACTTGGAGATGTAAGTTAATACGGGTTACTGAGTTCCCATTTTAGATAGATAACATCAAGTGTTGACTAGGTTTTGGAGCAAGTGGAATGTATATGCAATGTAGGTATTGGTATAAATTAGTTAGGCTACTTGAGACACATTTTTCAGTTTTAAATAAAGTTTAGTGTTTATCGTTGAATCATCAGTTATAGAAATTGATCCAGCGATCCACAGCCAAGTACTGTGTTGTGTTCCAGGAGTCTTGTTGAAGAAAGGCATGAGGGATTGAATGAGTCATAGGGTTCAAGAAAGAACCCTGGAAGCTCGGGGATTCTGGATAAGCAGTTAAGGAGTCTGTATGGAACTTACCTAGGCCCTCTGCATGTGAGTGACAGTTGTGTAGGTTGGTTGGTTTGTGGGGCTCCTAACAGTGAGATCAAGATTTGTCCCTGGCACTTGAGTTGGTTTTAGGGAAATTATTCCCCATGCTGGAATGACCCGCCCAGCTTCGATGCAATGGGGGAAATTAGGAGTGCTTCAATTTGATATGACATGCTTTTTTGACTCCTATGGGAGGACTGCCTCTTTGTGAATGGAGTCAGAGGAGTGGATGGAGGTGAGTAGATGGAGATGGGGAAAGGGAACAATGGGAGAAGATAAGGGAGGGGGAAACTGTGGTTGGTATATAAAGTAGATGAAAAATTAATATAAACAAATTGAATCATGAATATGCATATGTGTAACATGTGACTTGAGTGTTCATCATGATACGCTTACAGGTAACAGGATAAATGCTTTGTGCAATTTTGGAAAAGGCATAATCTGCAGTAGAAAAGTAAAGAGAGGTGGAGAGAGGACGAGAACTGAAAGCGACAGCATTGCTCTGTTGCTGTACCCTAGATTCACAGCACTGAACAAATTTAATGTCACGGAAGAACATTGACAATGTAAGCTTTGCATTTAAATTAAGATCCAAATTGAAGGACTACTTAGGAAAAAATTGTATGTAATTAGACTAATAGAAAGAAAGTGGAGGTAAAGAATGTATTCACCAAAGGATTACCTCTAAATGAGTGTTTGGGAAGTACATGAAGAACTTGGAGATCAAACTACAGAGCCTTGATAGAGAGAACATGTATTAGCATCCCAAAATTATTCTTTTCAGAAAATGTTTTATATATTTTTTGGTGGATAAACAATTAAAAAGAAGTTGAGAATAACAATGACAATATATGTGTTATTGCATACCTGGTTCAGAACCAGCAGGGCTTAGGGAACAAGTACACTGAAGGGAGGTTGAGAGCTAGTATATAGGTTGTGGGGAGAGGATGAAACATTAGAGGTGAAATATTGAGTATGAGGAAACAATTAGAAATCCATGTTAAAACTTCAAATTTGATTTGAATTGGCTATAATATACGATACCCAATTGAGAATAAAACAAACAGGTAGCAAGTCTTGTATGATTTGAAATAAGGCACTGTGAGTGTTGAGGCTGTTTATTATTGCTTCTATGTGTTATAGTTGGAAAAATATAAGTGAAAAACCGTTATGATAGCAGAGACTGCTTGTTTGTGTAAATGTGATATGCATTATATCTTTATATTTTAGATATCTTGATTTATAAAAGGAAAACATAAGGTAATCTTCATAAGTAAATAAAAAACGAGACAAATCTGTCAATGGATAATATTGTCAGTATCCTCAAATTTTTCATAATGTGCTGTCAGTGGTTGTGAAAATACTCGTAAGAGTTGACAACATATTAAAATCAGAGGAAGCCTTTCATGACAAGCTGCTAAATTTGTATTTCCAGACATTATTAGCTTCCTATCAAAGGTATTAAAAATGGATATGAGAACCTGGAGGGTTGGCCCAGTACCTAAGAGCATGTGTTGCTTTTGCAGGGTTTTAGGTTTGATTCCTAGCACCCACAGGGCAGCTCATAACCATTGGTAACTCCAGTACCTAGTGATGTTGAATCTCTTCTGACTTCTGGGAGCAGCAACATGTACATGATGTGCACCCAAAGTGCTTATAATGCATTCATACACAAAGAAGAACAAAAGAATAAATTTAAAAATTTAAAAATTTCACAAGAGTCCTTGGTTTCTTCTTAGCACACAACAGTCCTTGAATACAGAATTTTCCTTCAACTACATAAAATTTATATTTAAATATGCATATGTGTATGTCTGCAGTGCTTTGTTGACCCTCACCCAAAGTTTGGTTTATGGACAGATAACTCCATCTCTGTTCATCGTGATGAAAACAAAGACTTGGCAGAGCAGAGATGAACTTGTCTTTTCTTGAAATGACTTGTAGAGTTAGCAGATTTGGTGATGTTATGAGAACAACCAAGCTTTGTTGGAAGCCAAAGATTAAATTCTGATGCATCAAGAGCTATTGTTCTGAAAGGGACCATGCAAAAGAGCAAATGGCATCCTGGCACTGTTGCAGAGACCCCATGTTTGCTCTGGCAATGTGCAAGTTACACACAGGCAAGGTCTGTGGAAGGCTGATGAAACTTCAATTTACATTCATTCTCCTAGGCTAGGGACTTTGGAGTAAAACATCTAATCATAGAAAAACATAAAAGGCAATTTCTTAGGCTATTGAGTTAAAAAATCTTCTAACTAATAAGTAAAAATTTTCTCAGTATGTCTGACATCTTAAAAAGCAGACACTGTCATCTAGAGAGTTCATGTTTTAGAGTCATGCTTTTGAGGTACACATATATATTTTAAAATTTGCAAAAGTAAAAATTAAAACAAAACCACACGCAAAATATTTTCTGTAAGTTTATGATTTTATGTTTAAAAGCATTTATTGTAAGTATCTTTTAGAAAGGATGTGTGTTTAGTAATTATCAGGAAATTGTTTTGGCATATATTTTGCAATTCCCATTTCAGTTT